TTAGATTTCGGAAATCCGACTGAACTTAATTAATTCCGAAAATAATAAACGCTAATGTTACTATATCGGAATTAAACGTAATTCATACTAATAATATCTCGGGATATTACAGTTTCACTGCCCTCATCACCCCCATCACTATCACACCCATCATCACCCCTATCAGACACCTCAACATTTTTTTCAGTACCCTCATTAACATTTTTTTCACAACTCATTTCAGTACCCTTATCTGTCTCTTCACTCATTTCACTCTCACTTGTTTCACTGCTCTGTGATTCACTCTCATTTTTTTTCTCCAATTCTACCCAACCACCATCATCATACTTAGAAGTAGGCACAAATTGGCCTTCATCCATTAGATCAATGTGAATTCCCATCAATCTACTAGTATAGAAACATTTAGCCCAATTACGTACAGTTGAATCATCCCCAAGCAGGTTAAATGTAGCACCCGAGTTGAAATAGTACCTTCTTTTTCCTACACACCCAAATAGATCACTAAGACAATCCAATGTATCAACACCAATCTTGTACTTGTGTACCCAGTCAAAGATCATACTAGAACCCCCAATATAATAGTCAATTGGAGAATGCAAAAATTGACCTCCACACCAAAGTTGGACAGTCAAATGATCTTTACTTTCTATGGAACCAAACCCAAGTCAACCAGAAAAACAACAAACAGAATAAGTTAGGGGTTATCAAATGACGACACCAATAATCAATGGTAGAATGTACAACTTATATATTTTGAATGAAATTAGGGGTTTTCACCACATTATTGTTTAAAATTAGGGTTAAAAAACCCTAATTTGTCTCAAAATTAGGGTTTACAAATTAACCCTAATTTGTTTCTGAAATTACGGCTTGTAATTAAATGAATACGATTTGCAAAGAACCCTAATTTCATTATATTGTACGGAATTTAGAACCTCATTTCATTTTAATTCTACGAACTTTAGAAAATGTACCATTTTCACCTCAATTAGGGTTCTACATAGCACGAATTTTCAATAAACAAACAAAAAAATTGGCACTGACCGTATGTGGGAGGTCCATTGTGCATACGAATCTTCTTCCGGATGAACATCTTCTCAGGAATCATTTGCCTTCTTGCTTCTCAGTTCTTGCTTCTTCGAGATTTGGATTCTTTTTCAGAGAGAAATGGGAAGGATGGAAATGTAGGGTTTTTTCGGAGACAATTTGGGGGAAAATCGATTGTGGGAAGAAGAGCCAATTCGTTTTGTGCCTGTTCAACTTCGGGCCATTTCATTTGTTTTCCCTCCAGGAAAATCAAGGCTCTTTGCTTGGCCTTTCTGCCCTTGCCCCTCGACAGCGGAGGGCTTAGTTCAATTGGCCAAGCAAGGAAAGACGAGACAGTTCTGGCTGGAGGATGATCTGCTGTGGACATTTCCACGTGTGTCGACACGTGGATTTTTTTATTTTTTTTCGTTTAAGTTTGTTGGTCTATGTGTCAAAACCCACACCAGCGTGTAAAAACCGGCTCCACGTAAGGCGAGTTGCCCGTTAATTTCCATCACGTGCATGTCACGTGCGTGTTTCCGGGCAATTAACGAGTTTCCGGCAAGTCGGGGACGAATCTGCAACCTTTTTTCGAAGTTAGAGGACGAAACTCAAAGTGGCTATTCGAAGAGGACTAAATTGTTCTGAGGGGTATACTTAGAGGACGAAAAATGCACTTTTCTCTAATAATAATAATAATAATAATAATAATAATAATAATAATAATAAACTTTCTAAAATTATTTTTTAGAACGTACACTTGAATTATTATTATTATTATATTATTAAAATTATTATTTTGTACTGTGTACATGTGGTTAACTGGGTATATACCTATATCTCACAAAGTATAGTACTACTGTACTAGTACAGAGACGAGTGCACACAGCACCCTTTCACTGAGCTGTAAGCCTGTAACCACTAGCTAGTACCAGGCATATTATTTTGGCTGCTTATGCTCGTTAAATGCGCTTCAAATCGTATCGGAATTCGTCACAGTATCCGCCTATCGCCTTTTTTCTAGGGTTTAATCCGAGGCTTGTTTAGTTGTTTTCTTCCGAAATTGACCGGAGCAAACGAGCGATGGCGTTTTGGTGGCCTCTGGTTGTTGTCGCTTTCGCCTTCGCGATCTGCAAATTACTCCTCATGCTCATACCTTCCAATGTACCTTCGATCGACGTCGACATCTCTGATGGTATGTGTTCCAATCTCCGCAACCGTGTGATGAATTCGTTTCTGATATTTTGCGAATGCGAAAACTGCTGTCCTGTATGTTTTTGTTTGTGAGCGTATGTACATATGTGTGGCTCGCTTGTATCGGTTTCACTTTTGTTAATGTTGTTGATGCTCTGCTTGTGCTCAGCGTAAATTTGAGCTCCGGTGAGTATACGGTTAAGAGGCGTGGTCGATTTTACTTTTGTTTAAGTCAGCATATGTACAGTTTTTCGAGCGCTTTTAGTTCTCTTTCTCCTCCGACATGGATGAAATATGGTTAATAATACAGAGATGAGTAGTCTGTTGTTTCTAGCTAATTCGTTATGTATGACTTTGTTGGTGGCAGTCGTGGATGATGGGAATCAAATGAAGGAAAACAGCTTCATCTATGTAAGATCTCTCTCTCTCTCTCTCTCTCTCTCTCTCTCTCTCTCTCTCGTGTATGTATTTGATTTGACTGTAGTTTTTCCTTTTTTTTCTTTTCATTTCATCATTTTCTCAATCAACCTGTCTAGTTTTCTTAATCTCTGTTTCCTTTTAGTTATTATTGTAGATTGTAGATTGTTATAATGAGTAAAATAATGTTTAGTTGTTGATGAGTTTATTTCATTTGAAAACCTAGTAATTGTAAATTCTATATAACATATTTACATAAGGATTTTTTTGCTACACCATGATGGAGATGGAATTATGTATTTATCTTTTTTTTTTTTGTTTTTTTTTTATAGGCATACATCACTGTTTACCTGTGCTGTTAAGTATGAATGATTTTCTGTTGTGATGGACCGATGGTATTGAAACATCTTGTGTATCATATTGTCACTGGGGAATTCTCGCAGATACCTTCGCGGAGACAGACAGATAAAGTCCAATGCTATGAACCTGCAACAATGAAATACCTGGGCTTTTTTCCTGCATTGAAACCAGATGAGGTTAGTTTTACTGCTAGATTTGGTCTTTAATCGAGTCACCTTCCATCCGTATAATCTTATATATTTATATAGTAATTGGAACTGTTGGATTTATCATGTGTAATGCGTTGCTGCGTTTTACCAAAAGGCAAAATGCTTAACTGAAACTGCTGGGCAAATTTGGTTTGCCTTTTCGTACCATATTACGTCGATTGATGTTATCAGCTTAGCTCAAAGGCAGTTTTGAGTTTATTTCAAAAAGCACCAAATTAAATGTATCACTATCATATCGAAAACCACACAGTTCAAGTGATCTTAAGTTCACACATGAAGTTGACTAGCTTGAAGCTGCATCAAGTATTCAATGGATCCATATACAATATCTGAATGCAGTTGTTACTTTCCATTTCAAGAGTGAAATTCACTGCTTTCTGGATCCATATGTATTATTGGAGAGATGTATAGAAATCTTACAGGCAATTATCCACAAAATGATTATTTTTCATGTATAACTGACAAAGTCAACATTGACAACTATGCATAGGTTAAGGAGCGTGTTTCACAGGCGAGGAAGGCTCAGAAGGTGTGGGCAAAAAGTAGCTTCAAACAAAGGCGCCAGTTCCTGAGGATACTTCTAAAGTACATCATCGAACACCAGGAGCTTATATGCGAGTAAGAAGATCAAGTTACCTCTCATTAGTTGTGCTTTGCTTTTTCTCTTCCTATTTTGACTTGGTTCTTCATGCTGGTTCTAACTTCAGATTGCATAACATATGCTATTTCTTTTCTCTTCACTACTATGCTTAATGGAAATTTATGCCACTTCACTTAGGGTTTCATCGCGCGACACTGGAAAGACCATGGTTGATGCGTCTTTTGGAGAAATTATGACAACGTGTGAGAAAATCACCTGGCTTCTTTCTGAGGGTGAAAAGTGGCTGAAACCCGAATACAGGTAACTATATTCTTGGTAGCTTCCCGTATTTCTTGAATCGTTTTACATGGAAACATGAATGTGAATGAAGTTCTGTCACTCCATTATACAATCTCCTTTTCTTGATTAACATTAAAAGTTGTAGGATCCAATGATGTTTGTTACCTGCTAAAATCAATGTTCTGATTCTTCAGTTCATAAATACACTATAAGTGCCTTCACTCACACACCACAGCCAGTATAAATTAGTCCCTGGGGACTTGCATTTTCATTCTTTCACTTAATGATGACTACAAACTTTCTTTTGCATGAGTTATTGGTAAGCTGCATGCTTTCTAGTATAGATCATGAGTTATCCCTATAAGTTATTATAATCAATCTCTCAAGTGTTTACCATATGATGATAAAATGCTTTTACCAAAATATTTCTGCATGACTTTACCGGTTTGCTAGCGGACCATATTGCACTGAGCATTGTTTCCTTATCATGTAGATCATGTGGAAGATCAATGCTTCACAAGACAGCCAGGGTGGAATTTCATCCGCTTGGTGTAATTGGAGCCATTGTTTCATGGAACTATCCATTTCACAACATATTTAACCCAATGTTGGCTGCAGTATTCTCAGGGAACAGTATTGTGATTAAGGTGCCATATTCTCGATGCCACAATGCTGTTATTTATATGCCCAATTTCAAGTATGGAATTTTTCTTTTGAAGCACGCCAGAGATATCATTTAGGAATCCACTATGTTTGCTTACAGCCTATAGTGTACCATTCCTTATACAATGATTCACCAGACCGAATAGCGATAGAGTTACTCTCTGATGGTTGACTGCATATTTCTGCTAGTCCAATGAAAGTTCAGATAGTGTGATTGAATATAAAAATAATAATTCGAAAACTTTTGTCTCGTTTAGGAATAGAGATTAAAGCGGATGAGAAAGATTTGAGATTGAATAGATATAAGATAAAGATGTAATGATTAAAGTTGATGTGCTATAAAAATAATAAAATATTGATTGATAGTTCGAAATATGTGAATGGGTTGATAGTTTTTGTGGGAACATATATAATGATAATCACTTTTTACTCTGTAGTTGTGTTAGTAGGATTGTAAAGAAAAAGTGAATAGTAACTTGTGTGATTTTTTGTTTCATTTCAATTTCCAATGAAAACAAATCTTGACTGGACGGAAAAATGAAAAAAAGCTTGCATCCAATCGCCTAAACCTAATAGTTAATGAGTTCCCTTGTACCTTTTATTCATAATCTTCATTAATTAGTTTGAATTTCCTAGTGGAATGTACCTGTAATATATTTAGTCCTCAATATTTTTGATTTCAATAGTTTATTAAACACATTCTTAATATCTGCATGAAAATTTACATTTTCTTCCAACAGCATTACTTATGTTAATGTCACTTAAAGTTTATTCTTACGTGGAAATTAGAAATGATTGCTACACTGGTGGCATGAAAATTCTCATTATCTTCCTTATGACTATCAGATTTTCTTTTGCTGCAGGTTTCAGAACATGCGAGTTGGTCAGGATGTTTCTATTTCCGTATAATACAAGCCGCCCTTGCTGCTGTTGGAGCACCAGAAAATCTGGTTGAGGTCATAACAGGGTATGCCGTTCTTGCAGTTGTGTCTGCAACAAATCTGCTTCGTTTTTCTAAATGAGTTGTTTTGATTTCCTCCCAGGTTTGCTGAGACAGGAGAAACCTTGGTGTCTTCAGTTGACAAAATGATTTTTGTTGGGTCACCTGGTGTAGGGAAAATGGTTAGTTTTTTCTCTTGAGAGAAAAAAATAAGATTCAATCGAAGTATAGCATTGACAAAAGTTTTCCTACGCTATTACTCGTGCATAAAACTGATATTAACTTCTTGACGCCCTTGTCATGTATGGAAATATTGCAGATAATGAGGAAAGCTGCGGATACATTGATACCGGTTACTCTTGAGCTCGGTGGGAAAGATGCCTTTATTGTCTGTGAAGATGTTGATGTGCCGCATGTACTGAAAACTAGTTAGCATTAATTCATATCGTATTACTTATTGCCTAAATTAATTTGAATAACCTAAGCATCGCCGTGAAAATTGCAATAGAGTAAGGATTACAATTTTTGTAGGTCGCACAAATTGCTGTAAGGGGTGCTCTGCAATCAAGTGGACAAAATTGTGCTGGTGCTGAGAGGTTCTATGTTCACAAGGACATCTATACCTCATTTGTTGCTGAAGTTGTCAGAATTGTAAAATCTGTTACTGCTGTACGTTCCATATCTAATTATATATGCAAGTCTTAGCTACGTGAAATTCCTTGAAGATATAGTTCCTATGTACTAGTTTTCATCCTGAGAGCTGACGTCGGAATTAGAACCCTGCAAAAGCCTCGAATGTTTTACTTACACTTTCAATTTAAACCAATACATTGCTAAGTAAGCTTGTGTTTCTTACCCCATGCATAAGGCATTGAGTTTTAAGATTTCATCTTCTTGTATTCACATAGCAAGCATCTCCTGAAATAGATACGAGCCATATAGAATATGAAATGAACTTGATTAGATTGATAATTTAGATATGCCATTTTTTTCAAGTTAATTAGCATAAGTAACCAGTCTGTCAAGCATGGTTGCAGGGTCCTCCACTCATTGGGAAATACGACATGGGAGCAATATGCATGCAAGAGCACTCTGAGAAGCTCCAGAGTCTGGTAAATGATGCACTAAACAAAGGAGCTGAAATTGTTGGCCGAGGGAGTGTTGGGAATATTGGTGAAGGAGCCGTCGATCAGTACTTCCCTCCCACTGTAATTGTGAACGTCAACCACAGCATGAAATTGATGCAAGACGAGGTATGTTATATTTATTATATTTCTCTAGCTATTAACTGCTTCAACTTATTGAATAGAAATCAATTAATAGATAAACAATCTTATTCACGTGCAGGCCTTCGGACCAATTATGCCCATCATGAAATTCAGTACTGATGAAGAGGCCGTCAAACTGGCAAACGACTCGAAGTATGGGCTCGGGTGTGCTGTATTTTCAGGCAGCCAGAAGCGGGCCAGAGAAATAGCTTGTCAGTTACACTGTGGCATTGCTGCTGTTAATGATTTTGCAGCAAGCTACATGTGTCAGGTAATTCAACACTGAGGTGAATACATTATTTATGATATAATGACGGATCCACAGATGAGGATTAAGGAGTTGTCGCAAATGCTTTTGCTTTTGGAATGATAGTTTATTCTAATAGTTGTGAATTGAAGTTCATATTGTTTGCAAAGAGAAGCTATAGATTTGAGTTAATTAAGAGAAAATTTGGTGAATACGCTGTTGAAGTTTTGTTTTTGTCTGAATAATTCAAACTAGAAGTAGAATTTGCAACTAGAACGCCCCTCCCCATTTCCTATACCTGTGGATTTTATTTAAATAATGCAGAATCCAAGCGCTTGAAATGACTATAACAAAAAATAAAATAAAAAAATCAAAATACTATAAAAAGCTTTTTCCCATTTTCTTTTTCCCCTCATTCTGTAGCTGATAATCACAGTTCTATCCATGGTTGCAGTCACTCTCACCAATCAACTGTTAATAGGCTAAAAGAAAACTGGTTTTAGTTGCACCATTTGCTCGATTGAAGATAATCTCTTCATGTGTTGTTGCAGTCTCTTCCATTTGGTGGTGTAAAAGACAGTGGATTTGGAAGGTTTGCTGGCATTGAGGGGTTGCGAGCTTGCTGTCTTGTAAAATCCGTGGTGGAGGACCGGTGGTGGCCATTTGTCAGGACTAAGATCCCTAAGCCTATTCAGGTACATTTTCTGAAGTTACTTTCCTTATTTTTGTCCATCTTATTAATAACAAAGTTGATGTTATGTTTGGTGACTTTGGTCTCATGTTAACGTCTCTCTTTGTTCCTCTCGTGCACAGTACCCCATCTCGGAAAACGGTTTTGAATTCCAAAAATCACTTGTGGAAGCACTGTACGGGCTGAACTTGCGGGACCGTGTGCGGGCATTGGTGGATGTTTTGAAGATGCTTTCCGAACCAAGTGCTTCCAAGACCAGTAAGAGAAAGGACTAAAACAACTGCCACTCAGCTGCACATAATCCGTAGATCTCTTTGGTAAGGTAATGACATTGGACTTTTAGGTCCTGAATGAATATATTCTGACAAATGTGGAACTGCAATGAATTGTAACGACCACTCCCCTATGTACCGAGGAATTGACTCTTAATCTAACAATTACTTGGGTAGGAAAAAAAATCTAGGTACTACGGGGTATCAGGAAATGAAAAACTCGACTTCTGAGAATCTGATTCGTGATTCAGTTCCAACTCGGATAATGAATGCATTATTAAATCTTCTACTGATTCACCTCCATTGTCGCACGTGATAGATTTGGTTCTTCTATTTCCATTAGTGTTCTCTTAATCTGTCATGAAACCGCCAAGCATCCAATGGGAGAGGCCAGATCTAGAAAGGGGAAAGGAGTTTACACTACTAAAAACCGCCCTCTGTGGAAAAATAAAAAGCTCGAGGCCCCCCCTTCTTCTTGGCTGGGCAAATGCAGAGGGCTGGGCCGGAGCCGACGGATTGCTTCCTTGCCCCACTTGTTGGCCATGGAAAGGAATTAGTGACATCGGAGAGGCGTTCAACTTGACTACTTCAATATCATATAATAGCCCTTAATTTTTTTTTAATCTCTACAAATGAGGACGTTAGAAGTTCTGATACAAGTATATGACAAACCTACGCAATTCAGTTTGTCCTTTAAAATAAAAAAAATGGATAGTTGCTATAAACAAAATTAGGAAGCTGTCGTATTTTTCTTCTTCATTGGTCTCCAAGAACTTTTTGCTGATCTTGAAGAGCCCATTGCAGACTCAAACTGGACTTCAAGTTTCAAAGGGTCTAGCAATAATTTTTTTCTAATAAACTCGTCTAAATCGAAACCAGTTCCACTTGCAATGGCATTAAGATGGCCTGTAGAAATTTCTTTTGATTGCTCATCTTTATCGTTGCCTGTAGAATCCTTGGCTTTCTCCATGTTCAAAAGTTTCTTTATGCTGTCGATGGCTGGGTCGATGATGTCCATGAATCCCATGACCCATGATGCATCATCAACAATCTCCGTACGCTGTTGCAAGAAAAACCAAATTTGATCATCAAAAAGTTTCTTCTTTTCGCACGAACTTAGATTGTTTGCTCATAGTCATTTGTAACGGTACATAAACGAGCCATTGTTTTGGGGAAGTGAAATGTTTACACAAACTATCTTCGTGATGTAGCCAAGTTATAAAAAGATTTACGAATTCAGTTCAAGATGAACGGAACATTTCGAGGGCTTAGTTTCCTTGCAGTACATGCTTGCTTTTATGTTCTTGCGGGAAGTAAAAGATAACAGACAATTTTTCCCATATTTGAACTAAATATCCCCAACAGGCAATGTACCTGCTGGAAGTAGAGGTCTCGAATTTCCTCAGCACGAACAGAATCTCCTTGATCTTCTTCGAGAGATGCCCAAGTCATCCATGTCACATAGCTTTGTGAATTTATGTTAAGTGAAGATCTGAATAATCTTCGAGCTGCTGATGGATTGCCCGCTCTTTGTTCTAAAACTCCCCAGGCCTGCAATATGCTCACAAACAGAGTGCAACTATTGAAATTGTACTAAAATTAAAAATGTAGAGGAAAATGACTGACTAAATAAACTAGAACAAGCAAGGTAGCATTTGAAGATTGATATTTTCATTACCTGAAGACAACGTGCAGCGCTTTCGCTCGTTACATTTATTGAGAGCGCCTTTTGGTATAGCTCTCTAGCTGTGCCCAAGTTTCCTTCTTTCCATTCCATCCAACCCCAAGCCTAAAACATTCAATTGAAAATATAACTCGAATGATCGAGTTTTTGAAGAGCGGTTGAGATTGTTGCATTCAATTTTCACACTCCAGATCGTTTCACGACTTTTTATTGTACTAACATCTGGATTCTAGCTATTTTCAATAGAGGTTACGACACACATATAACTCGAAATAATTACTCACAGTCCAAACTGGCTGATGCCTCGGATCCAGCTCGGATGCCCTTCTGAAGAGCACTCTTGCAATATTTGCTGACGAGTACTTGTACTCGAGTAGTGCAAGTGACTGCAAAAGTACGGGATCTTTCGGGTTCACAGCATGGCCCACCTTCAGAAGCTTCCTTGCTAAATCAGCATTTCCAAGATTAGATTCAAAGACTCCCCACACATGCCACGCGAACCGGTTCTTGGGACTAGCCTGGACAGCTCTCTGCCTCAACAATGATATAATTAATATAGTGATGGGCTTAAGGATAAATATTTGTTGGTTAACAAATTCAAATAAGCAATACAATTTTATTTTATTTTCTTATTTTTCAGACAGAAATGAAAGGACTGAACCTCAAAAAGCATCCTAGCAGCACGGTTGTTCTCTTGTCGCGCCTCAAGCTGGGCCCACGCCTTTCAGCACAAGAGTACAGATATTACCATTTTGTTCGAGAACTCTTGAGAGAAGTGATTATCCAGATTTTTGGCCTCTTCTTTTCAAGAACATTACTACTACAAACAATCATCGCAAGATATCTTTTAGAAACTTACGAGCCAGCTGGCGCAGCTTTTCGCGTTGCATTTGGTGGCTTGCTTGAACAAATAGCGAGCTTCTTCAAACCGTTTTGCTTTGACTTCAAGCAGCGCGAGTGTTTGGTATATGTATTCATTCCCGCCACAAAACTTGAGAGCCTTGCCGAGAAGGTTCCTTGCCTTTCTGATATTCCCTTGCTTCATTTCCAAAACTGCCCATCCGTGCCAGCCTGCAACGTGCTTTTTGTCGGCAACTGTGGCTGCATCGAACAATTCTTTAGCTTTCCTGCTGTTGCCCATCTTATTTTCAAGAACTGCCCAGCACTGGTACAAAAACACACAACACAATTCAAGAATAATTTTGAAATTCACAAAAGATATTAGGAGAAGAAGAAGCAGCAATGGGTTCCCTCATTTAGTTATTATTTCGATATATTCAAAAGAAATCAGCTTTCATTCATCATCGTCATTTTTTTCATCTAGCATCGAACAACATTCTTGAAGCTCAACCTTCTTCCATCAAAGTTTTTCATTGATATCCTTCATGATAAAGACGAATATCATATGTATAGAAGTAAATCCATGAGCAACCTGAATTTTTTTCAAGAAAACTACCAAACCTGCCAAATGTAAGGATTCTCGCCTTGCGTAGCCTGGCTTCCCTTTTCATACACAGCTCTGGCTTCATTCGTTTTCGACTGTTTGCTCAAAGTCCTCCCTAAGGCAACGTAGGGTCTCCCATCTTCTGGCCAATAGTTTATACACTTCAAAAAACACAACAGTATCACACATTAACAGACAATTGCTTATGAATATATAATCCTAATTGACAATTGCTTAAAAAACCAGTTTCTTGAAACCTTAAAAAGGACAATAAAAAAAAAAATCATCAGTGTATACCTTCCTCAGTATCTCCTCTGCCTCTTCATACCTATAATTCCTTGCCAAAATCTTTGCTTTATACAGAGCCAAATCCAAATTCACCGACAGGGGCTTCTCACCGGAACCCGACTCGACTGCCTTAGGCTCGAAAATCGGCATCTTCTTCGCAAGTCTCGACAGCCGTTCGTCGAGACCCGAAGAAGGAAAAATCCCTTTCTCCTTATCAGACAGTTCATTTTCGTCGACTGCATTTTCTTCTCCAAACTTCAATACCGGCCGACGAACGACGAGCAACTCCTCTAGGGACTTCTTGGCGTTCGCAATCTCTTCATCGAGACATTCGGGGCTGTCGATTTCGCTGCTGTCGGCCTGTGATGAAGAACTTTGATGCTTTTCTTGAAGAACCGGAGATGACGATGATGATGATGATGAATCATGAGAATGTACAGGAATTACATTATGGTTGTTTGAGGTGATTGAGTGAGGTGTTTTCAGGGGTGTAAACAGATGGAGTTTAGAGGAATTGGGGTGCTGAGAAGGAGAAAAAAGAGTGAACTTGGAGCATGAGTAAGATGAAGAAGAAGAAAACATGTTCATCTCTTTGTTCTTGTTTATATGTTTTTTTTTTTTTAACAGATGAAACTGTAAGAAGAGGTGTTTTCCATGACTGGTGATTCTTGCACCAGATGATTGATAAAAGAGAGGGTATAAAAGTAATTGTAGCAAGAAACCAGTGATCAGTAGTTGGCCATGTCACCCCAACAATGGGGGGCTCAAACTTCTGAGAAGTAGATTTTTCCCTGCCACGTGGAGAGCTGTAATTGGATGATGCAAATTTCTTGAGATGGAAAAACCTGACCTTTCCACACCCAAATGAACCTAAACTTTAAAAGGAATCTCATTCTGTTTACAAATTTCAATCACTTTACTCTATTTTGTGCACAGAACATACCCCTAGGCTCACGGGTAGGCCTTTAAATAAGTCGAGCCGAGCTCGAGCCTTAATGAGTCGAGCTGAGCTCGGCTCGTTAAATGAACGAGCCAGAAATCAAGTTCGAACTCGAGCCTTAACGAGCCGATCTTGAGCTTTAACAAGCCGAACTATAAAAAATTATATAAAAAATCTCTTTTCGAGACTTATCGCTCGTTAACCAGACAGGCTTTAAATGAGCTCAAGCTTAGCTCGTTGAAGCTTCGAACTCGAGCCTTAACAAGCCCAGCTCAAACCGAGCCAAACTCGTTTAATTTAAGGGTAATTTTTTTTAATAACTTAAACCTTTGAGGTTGTCGTTATAATTGTCCACAGTATGTCTAAAATCTTTTAAACTGGAATGGGACTAACATCTGGCCTGCAATCCTGCATTAATAAGTAGTAACCCCATCAACAATGTCGTTTCGTTCTGCTCGGGAAGATAATCCAAAAGCACATAAACAAATTACACCCATCTATCACACATAACGTAAGATTAATAAACGCCAGCGCAAGATGAAACACTCAGAATTATGACTTCTGGAAAAGGAAAACAGAAAAAGCCCGAGACAAACATTTTTTCCACGAACAGAAAGTTATAAACGTGAGCGTGAATGCGTGATAACCACAAGAATATTACATAAATCCTCCTCCAGCAAGTATTACTCAATATCAGCTGCAGTATATACTTCAATTCTTATAGTCCAACTGCATCAAAATTACAGAGGAAAAAAAAAATCTTTACCAGCAGTGAACTCTTAGTTATAGCTCAAAAGTCAAACCCACCGCCTTTTTCTAGCTGGTCTTTCTAATTTACCCTTATCGGCACTTTCAATGTCCAAATCAAACAACGGGCTGCAAATCTTCTCAGCATCCTTGCCTGAGATAATTGGCTCTTTAAACCGCTCTCTACGCTTTTCCATCTTTGCAATGATCTCCAAAATTTTATCATCACCAAGTTCCTTCACAACTCCATCACCATTTGAAGCCACATCTTTAGAAGCAATGTCACATTTTACGGGGCCATTCCCATAATTTTCTTCTGTAATTATCTGCCCTTCCTCAATATCCAGAAATTCACCCTTCTGGTTCATGGCGTGATGTGCCTTGTGAGAGTCTTCTGAAACAGTATTCTCTGGCTTAAAACCATCCGAGCCTTTGAAATTGGTTGGCCTCCGGTTGTAATTCCATTCCCTGAGATTATGTCTGCCATGAATTTTATGATCTCCAGCTTCAGACGTAATCTGCAAGATGTACCGTCAGAAGAAGCAATATAGTTGATGCATGAGAAAGATACTGCTTCACATGAATGAAAGACTTCCATAAATGTTCAAGCTGCATGGCTCACACGATGTCTTGTACAAAAGGGAGAAAATTTTCAGAGGATAAAGATAATTTTCTTGTTTTTTTGTTGATTTGTAAAAGAAATGATCACAGCAAATAATTAGAAAATACAACGACATAGGGAATAACCTCAATCAAACTAACTTTGTTATCTAGTGAGTGCAAGAGGATACCTCTTATATTTATTACAAAACACATCGCAGATTCGCAGGAATAGTTTTACCAGAAACGGGATAAGTGCTTCATATACTCAAGAAACGGCTTACCAGATATTCATATACTAAAGAACGGCCATTGCAGCTGATGATGACAGTACTCATCATCGAAATGAAGTGGAATAAATAAATCTTGACTGTGGGTAACAAGTTTTTGGCTAAGACAAGGAGACCAACACATAATCTTTTGAACTAATTTGCAATGTAAGTTATAACATTTGAGCAAATTTAAACAAGATGACTCTATAGTTATGGACAGCCATACACAATGACTATGGAGTCGCATGGCTGTAAGGAATAAATTATGACCAACAAATGTTCTTGTGTAGTTGTATTTCAAAATTAGTAGATCAACAACAAATATGAAATGGTTTCACAAAACACAACATTGTGCAAGTTTTACAATTTACTTCCTCACCGGGCAGAACTTAGATGTATAAAGTAGGCAGCTTTTACTTATGAAAAATAACCTAACTTCACAACAGAAAATTCAACCATTTCAAATTACGAAAATGTATAAAGAATTAAGTCAAAACTTCACAGTGGAGGAAGCTAAATGGCCCATGATTAATTGGATCCACCTGCTTTCAGTTGCCCCTCTATAATATATTGTTGATAATTAAGTATTTAAATTCTTAGCAATGAACATGAAAA